GGGATCAGTTCACGTTTGGCGCTCAATTCCTACAAAAATCCCTTTATTATCATAAACTACTCATTTTAAATGTAATTTATCATAAACCCAATTTGCTTTTTAAATTCCACGAATGTTACATTTACATTTTACCTGCGTACGCGCCACTGTTGTTTACATGTTTTTTTGGAGACGGTCTCTGATTTATGACCAAGCTCGCCAGGTTAGTATTTGACGTATAACCGACCACTTCATACCGTATGAAGCGGTATTTCAGATTTTACATTCAATTTCATTTTAAATTTAAAATGGTTCATCTTACGCTTCCTAAAAATGATGACACTATTTTGAATTTTTTTGAAAAAAGACCGACAATTTTTGCTCTACTTTGCGTCGAATACGATCCTACTGCAACTACATTCAATAAATTCCGTTTCATTATCAGTAACATCTTGTTTAACATGGATTTCACATATTGATTTAAAAACTCAAGTGTGTTTTTACAATAACACAAGCTTTTGTCAATTGAATAATCCACAGTTAATCGATTGATAATCATTTGTTATTTGTTAGTCAAGATTGTAACCGACCATAAGTTCAGATTTTCAGGACTTTTGGCTCAAAATGAAATGAATGAAAAAAACCTGTAGAAAATTTAATTCTCTACAATTTTCGTGAACTTCTTACAAGTTTTGTGACGATGGCCCAACCAGAATCCACATCATTGGTTTCGCCTTCGCAAATTTTTAGATTTTTTATTCTGAGATGTCGATGTCGATGTCAAATGTAATTCTGAAAGTGTATATACAGGGTGTCTCATAATTAGTGTCCAATAATTTACTACTTGATTATATTACCAAAAATAAGAGTATTTTTTCATATAAACATGGGTCGAAAAATACTTCTTAAGGGAGCTACGCCCCCTAAATGGAGCCTCAAAAAATTAATTTTTTTTATATTTCGAGAATTTTAAGACCATGAACGCTCATTAATAGTCGAAATAAATCACCATACAATTATTCAAAAATTTTTGTCAGGGGCGTCTCAATTGGGGGCTCGTCGGCTAAAATTTGCCCCTATTTTTTGCTTGTCAGAATTTTCAGTTTCAAATGACAACATATGAGAGACCCTCATTTCCTCTTCAAAAAAGGTACTCTTTATTTCTTTCGATGAAATGCTCAAATTCCGAGAAAAACGGATGTAAGCATTCTAATAAAACGTTAATAAAATTCAAAAAATTTTCTTCAATAACTAAAATGGGTGCATGTACCATTTTGAATTTTGATATGTCATCATATCATTATATATTGTAATAAACAACGTGAAAAGTTCTTAGAAAATTATGTATGGGCGTCCCAAGCAGGGGGGGGGGGGTTCGGCTAAAATTTGTCCCAAATTTTTTACAAGTTGCTATTTTCAAATTTTAACAGTAAAATTTGATAGATCTGAGTTTTCTATGAAAAAATGGTAATGTTTAACTTATATTGAAAAAGTAATTCGTTTTCGAGAAAAATCGGTTTAAATATGTTATAACGCTTGCTTTCCTAAGCCTACTTTTCGGAAATGAAATGAAGGTCTATCATAGTAGATATCTGAATTTGAAAATTTCGACAAGCAAAAAAATTGGGACACAACTGAGACGCACTTGACTAAAATTTATGAAACATTTTATGATCTATTTCGACTTTTAATGAGCATGTTAAAATTCATAATTTTCCAACAACTCATTTCGGAAATATTTAAAAACCCATGTTTATATGAAAAAATATTCATTTTTTTGGCAGTATAATCAAGTGGTAAATTATTGGACACTAATTATGAGACACCCTTACTGTGTGTCCCAGGATGGGGTTTCGCACTCTTGTAAACTTTTTTATTGTTGATTTTTCGAGACAAAGTTATTCTTGATAAAAAATGTTGCTTATTTTGAGAAGCCATTGGCAATAATCAAATATGTAAGAAAATATATAAAAATGTGAAATTTTCCTTAAGCAAAGTGCCTTTAATTTTTGTTTCCATTATAAACTGTATTTATCAAAGTTGTTCGAGAACTCAAGAAATGCTTACGGGGTTTTGGTCAGAAAATAACAATAATCACATTTTGTACATAAAAAGATTACGCAATTTTTAACTACCTTACATACCATATAATTACCATGGATACTTCCTTATCAATGTCAAAGTCAACATATTTATTTTTATTAACAGCCCACCGAATAATTTGTATTCATAATGATAATCCTGGAGTAATGAATTTATTTTGTGAAATGGTATGGAATCGGTAATGTTTCATATCGATATGCAATACAAAATTTTAATGAACACTATCCAATGTAACTGCAACTCGAAGAGCAGTTCGCAAGCAAATTATAAAACTCGATACCACTGATGACGAAAGAACATTAAAAAGATAAAAGGATAAAAAAGAATACAATGATAACGATGTTGTGTAGTTATGGATGAATGTTGTAGTTATGGACTGCACAAAACAATCCAAATATTAAGTTTCTTGTTTTGAGAGACATGTCGCTCTTTTCAAAAACTTGAAATGAGTTACTTCCAAGGAAGAGAGCGATATGTCTCTCGAAACGTCTAGAAACTTAAACAGACAATTTCTGTATGCATTAAGAAAGATAGCTAAAAATCGTGTCTTCTTATTTGCAAAATGTGATGAAATGATTATTCTTCTTTTTTGACTATACCCATACTTAAGCATTTCTTGAGTTCTCGAATAATTTTGTTAAATACAGTTTTTAAAGAAAACAAGAATTAAAGGCACTTGGACACCCTGTATATTTTATTACATATTTAGTTACTGCCCATGCTTCCCAAGATATGTAAAACTTTTTGTCAATACCTACTATTTCTCGAAAAATCAACAATAAAAAAGTTTACAAGAGTACGGTACCCCATCTGAAGACTCACTGTACTTGGTTTTGGACAATCAATGTCATCTTCATTAAAAAGCTCTCGAATTAAAGTAATTCTCAAAAAAAATATCCGAAAGTGACGTGGAAAGAAATAAAATTCGAATATTACGTTATAGGAAGCCATGCAGATGTTGAATGGTTCGAGAAATCATTCGTTTCAAGGATTAGGAACAAACAGGTAAGGACCAAAGTTGTAGAGATTTACATTCCATACAGTGTTTATTTACGTTTATTTCTGCGACAAAGTAAAAAATAAAGGAGATAAGGTAATAAGTTAATTTCACTCCTTTTTCTAGGTTTGAATTGAAAAATATCTCGTAGACTAATAGAGCTAATGACAAACCTATAGAAAATTTTCGACAAGTTTGTTTGTAACCATTTTTAGCATGGGCGTAGCTAGGGGGGAGCCATGCCATGCGCACCCCAGAGAGCCTGGTGCCCACCCCAGAAAAATATCAATATCATCTTATCTTTGTCATATCGGTAATTCGGTGACTGCGAGTTCTTTTTAGAATCAAATTAAAACGTGTTCTTTGATATTGTAATTCGCTAAACGATGAAGTCCAGAAAATAGACCACCAACCAACCCCTGGAACAGTTTCATGCCAAATGAATTTAACCAAAAACCGTTCATTTTATAAAAAATTGAAAGAGAGCCGTTTTGTTTAGAATTGATTAAAAAATTTAAAAATGATGTTATTTTCCAAAAAAATCCACGGGCGTACGAATTATTTTTTTAAAGGGGGCAGTAACCCACCTCAGGCACGTCACTGGTGTGTGAAATGGATAACAGATATCTTTGTTTTATTCACCATAACTAATGTGTTATTAATACCAAATTTCAGTTCAATATGTGTTGGTATTTTAGAGATATTAAGAAAAATTCTTTAAAAAAGTTTGTTAATCAACTGTTAAAATCCTACTACAAAAAACTTACTCACCCTGTATATAGGAAAGGATAAGGAATTGTTTTAATGAAATTTGTAATTTATTTGCTTCTTTGATTGTTGGTAGAACTGAACCCTTTATGAATAAATACGTGAATTTCTTGAAGACTTCGTGAATTTATTCATGTCAATGTAAAACAGTTATCAGAAATCGCTTCCTTCAAAGATTGGGACACTTTGTATTCCTATACAGGGTGTCTCAAGTACGTGTCGATAATAAAACGAGCGATTATTTACATAAGTTTCCATGAGCACATGTTCAAACTGGTCTAGTTTTCTCGATAGCAAAATATATCTGACAATTTTTTCTAGAGCTCAAATCGTCTTGTAAAACGGAAATAAACTACTAAACATTTTTCATCTTTATGGGTAATATTTTCTTTAACTTCTTTTATTATTACCGTGTTAACTCATTTTATACAGCATTTGATATATCTGAGTTTATTTTACACAAGATTGTCTCTCAGAAAAATATAAAAACTACAAAGGTTAAAAGCAACAAATAAATATAATTAATATCTGTAGCAAATAACAAGGTTATGCTTCAGAAAATTGGCATATGGTATAAATTTTTCAAAATATTTAGATATATTCGGTAAAAGAAATTCCTATTTGTTTTTACTTAAAATTAATATAGGAAAAACTGTAATATAAAAAGTATTTAAGTTTATGATAATTTGCTTTCGATGATGGGATCCTAGATCCTAAATGGGACGAAGTTGCCGAAAATAAAACCTAAATATTATATACATATATCAAATTAATCAAATGTCGACTTTGGTTACGTTTACTTTTAATCTCAATTAAAAAATAGATGTTAGGTCACCTACTGATAAATCATTATACCTATAGGTTGATGCTATTATAATAAATATTTCAGTAATTGCAAAATAATCATTACAAATATATTTGGATTGTAAAGGTCATATATTTTGTCAGCAAAGCATTTCAATATGACTAATTCTAAATATTGTAGGCGCCCAAATAAGATACATATTTTATTTTAAAAACATTGTTACGGAATTATTCTAGAAATATCGTGAATTTTAAATAAGTGGCACTTATAAAATTATCACTTGGGTAATAACCACTTCTGTAAACACATAAAATCTGAATTTAAAATGATGTAGCAAAGTTTACTCACCTGAATGTCATTGAGAGCATGAGTAATCTTCTGGATGTTGAAGTGGAGACCGGCAAGTGTAGATACCGGTTCGTCGGTGAATTTGGTCCTCGAAATCACCGCCTTGACTTTATCGAGAGTCTGACAATAGTCCTTCCAGATTTCAGCGTCCTGTTCCAACTGGGCCTTTTGGGACTTTGCGGAGTTAAGCGTGTTCTTTAGAATCTGAGTATGTTGCTGTTGCTCCCTGCTGAGTTCTTCTTGCTCGTAGGGTGTCAGACTGGGCCAAATCTTATCAGCAGCTTGCTGGATGGTTTGGGATACCAATTCTTTGATGTTACCTTCGGTGCTGAAGAAGATTTTGTGTTCCTCCAAGTCTTGCAGTATATTTTCGAAATCAACACCTTCTTTGTGAGATGCCAGGCGAATTTCTGCTTCCTTTACCCAGTCAAATAGTTTCTGTCTGTGCGCTGCGTATTCTTGTCTCAAAATCTTGTTGCTTTCTAAGTATTTCTGCCTCTCTTCTAATTCCCTTGGCAATGAGGATAACAAGGAGTTGGCTTCTTGCAGTTGCTCTTGTAAAGATCCGGGCATGCTGTCGTCATGTCTTGTGGCGTCTTGTATTTTTCGTATTTTATCCAGATAATTATTGACATTTTCAGCTAAACTGTGATGTTTGGCTAGTTCTTTATCAACACTATTAACATCTCTGCTTAACAAAGGTCGAGATCGCACAGTTGCTTCATTAGTATGCAGCCAATCAAGAATTTCTTCCAATTCTTCAGCCAATTTACGATGCTCAGCTGCGGTATTCTCATGTTCTTGCCTCTGTTTCTCAACTGCTCTCCTCAAATTTTGAAGAGATTGTTTAAGAGACTGAATTTGTTCAGTAATAGTGTTTTTGTCTTGAGAGGAACCGTCGGCAGCTATTTGTTGACCTTTATCTTCTGCTGACGCTAAAAGTGCTTCACATTCTTGAATTTTAACGATAATATCGTCATATTTCTTAATCTTTTCTTCTATAGTACCGCCAGTCTTTTCCACATCCCGCACTATTTCCGTGTATTTCGTTATGAATGTCATTATTTCTGTTATAATTGCGAGATATTGCTCTCTTAGCAATAACAACTGGCGTAATCTTGCGATTTGATCTTCTATTAGCTTGATAAGGTCATCTTGTAAATTGATGACGCTTTGTAATTCGGCTTGGTTTGCACCGGGGACATCACCAAGTTTGGCTTTATTCGCTTTAAGACCTTGCAAGAGCCTCTCGTACGTTGAGAGGATACTTTGAACGTCTTCGACTTTGGTTCCTATTGGTTTATTTAGTTCCTTCAACTGGCCTTGGATTTCCTGGATAAACTGCCTGCTTTCTGCAAGACGTTGTTGGGCGTCCTTGATCTGCTGAATATTTTGTCTGAGTGCATTGGTTCTGTCTTGTATCAAAGATGCGACTCTATTATGACGATCTCTTAAACCGTTCAGTGTATCGTTGAGTGTGAGTTTATCAGACTCGCTTATGGTAGGTAATATAGCTTTGCCTTGTTCGGTAATCTTTTCAATATCTCCTTGTACTCGTTGAGCATCATCGTTGAGTTTTTCATATTTTGATAATTGTTCTTCAAGCACATCCAAGTTAGCAGCTCTTATGTCGGAAGACGTAGCGACTTCCGCTTCTTTTAGCCAGTTGATGCATTTATCTATATCACTTTCAAATTGCCGCCTTCCTTGCAACAAGTCGGAAAGAGCATGAATTTTCTGTTGTGACTCAAATTTGAGATTATCGTATTCCTCTTTAACTTCGTTTAGTAGATGCTCCAAACGCTCGCGGTCATTTTCGTCACATTCTTTGAGGACGCTATTTCCAAGTTTGAGAAGATCATTAAGGTCACCTTCATTGAATTCTTTAATATCATTTTCATATTGTTTGTGTTGGGCTATTTCACGTTCAACTTGGTTAGCTTGTAAAGGTAGGTAGCCACTAAGTTTTCTAACTTCTGCGTTCTTAGATTTGAGCCAAGCTTTAGCTTTCTCCAAATTCGACTCCAAGTTTCTTCTAGTATTGGCTGCGGCTGTAACTCGATCTATCTCTGACTTAATTTTCTCAACTAACTGTTCTTGTTCAGATCCTAGGTTCTTCAATGAACTTTCTAGTTGGTTATGCTCGGATGGTTCTAGTTCGTTAGTCATGTTACCAATACGCTTTATAAGGGTTTCTTTGAGAAGTTGTTTACTGTCAGCCTCTTTTAGTAAATCCTTCAAAGCATTTAGCTTATCTTCGGCTTTACGGCTTTCGAAACCAAGTGGTCCAGGTCTTTGCAAACTAACAAGTTTCTCCTTAACCCAATCCCTAGCTTGCTCAATTTCGTTTCTAGTGTCTTCAATGCCCTTTCTTGTCATCTCAAGAACTTGAAGTTTGCGTTGCAGCCTTTTGGCTATGTCGTTGTAACGCCTTTCAATTGATTTTGTTTGTTCTTCAACTTGTTGGGAGTCTAAATTATTAACAAAATCGATTACTTGGGAAGCCAAACGCTTTACTTCATCCAGTCTTTTAGGACCTTGGTCTTCGAATTCAGCTTGAAGGTCAGTAATGGCAGACTGTTTCTGTTGGCAATTGAGGCCGGAACCTTTATCTATAGCGTCGATTCTCTTGGCAAGATTATCAAACCAGTTAGTGATGACTTGAATATGTTGCCGGTACTCGTCTATTATTTCTTGATTGGCCTGTTTCTGGGCAATAACCGCTGTTAGTTCGTTTTCGAGATTGTCCAACATCTTTTCTAACTCATCGTTCTCATCACTGGATGCTGTCAGTTCTGTAAGTAAATAACTTCTGCGTTGACCGATTGAAGTTAGGAGGTCGTTCATGTTGTTCAGCTCTTGCTTGGCGGCGTCAGCTCTTAGCTTGACTGGACGGTTTTTCCACTCATTTACTGTGGCCCTTTGAGCTATTATCCAGTTTCTTAATTCAGCTCTCTGTCTTTCTTTTTCTTCAAACTCAGCGACGGAAGTGGTCAAATCGCTGAGGTGAGCTTGTACCTAAATGAAAAATATTCGTAGTGAACAGTAGCATTTTTTTATTAATGAACTGATGATAAAACTGACATCAATTTATAAATACAATTAATGGACTAGATAATATTGGAATTCATAAAGGCTTCATTCAAGCAAGTGAAAATGATATATTTGTCAATGCAATATATTTGTAACTCACTTAGGTCATTATTCACAATAAAGGTTCAGGGTATTTTTATTCATTTGCACGAACTAAGTCTTTTAGAATGCAGATTTTTTAAATCTATCTTAATATTCATTACTTTGCAGTATTTACAGCATTCTAACACTTTCTTTAACACTCTGTGAAATCATGCAATCGTGCTAAGTACAAAGCGAATAATATGGAAAATAAGAAATGTGAAAATGTGTAGGTGTTCTACAAAGCTATGCAGTTGAAAGTGCAGTAAAAAAATCACAGTATAATTTACATTTATAATGGTTAATGATTTGTTTATTTAATGTTTGTAATTAAATTAAATTTTAGTTCTCTATCAATTTAACGCTTAACTGCAAATGGAACAGCAATTATACTGGTCTTAAAGAGGGTCTAACTGAAAATTAGAGCAGATGAAAAATAATGTAATGCGCTGCTAACCTACCTCATCGATCTGTGTGTTCAGTTTGTTAACAAAACCACGTGACATAAGTTGATCCAAAAGCAATTTCAGTTTACTAGAATCCTCTGAAGTTGCCGATCCCTTGTGCGTCTAAGAGCAAAGCAAAAACGTGCAAAAAAATTCAAAGAAAACCAGCAAAATAAAAATAAAAATAGAAAAAGAAAAATCAAAAGCCAGTACCCTACATATTACCGACATTTACCTGATCGATTAGGTCTTCCAATCTCGCCCTGCATTCTAGTTCCTTAATAGGTACAGGAGGAGGTAGTGTATCCCTTGGACTGCTAGGTCGACTTATGGAAGCTGTAGCTGCCTCACAAGCTTGTACTGCTAACGCTAGTCGAGACTTTTCGTTTTGCAATTTATTGTGAATAACCTGAAAACAGGAAATTGAATTTTTTACGACCCCTTTTCTCAATAATACTATGTTACCTTTGCTGTTTCTAATTGAGTCTGAGCATCCTTCAGATTTTCAATCGGTTTTTCAATTTCCTCTGCTACGATAGGCTCGTACTCATCTAAGTTTTGCATTATACTCTCAAGAGTGTCTTCATATTCTTTAAATTTAGCCAAAGAATCAACCAATCTGTTTTTGATTTGCACTGCAGTCTGAAGCAAGGAGTTGTAGCTATCTTGCACATTGTTTAGTTGTTTCTCTATAGTGTCTTTAAGAGCGGGAGCGGAATTGACATATTTTTCAATCTGACCGTAACCTTTGGCCTTCACATCATCCAAAGTTGATTGGTACTTTTGAATTTCTTCTAATAGAACTTCATGCTGAGCTAATTGCTCTTCTGTTTGTTCCCTATTGGTAATGTAGAGAGAGTTGTGTGCCATCAATTGGAAGGATACTTGTAACAACCATTTTTCTGTTTCTTGTAATTTTTGATGATACAAATTGTAATCTTCCAATTCTGCTTCAACAGATTCTTTGAGAGCATTACAAGTTGCAGAAAGCTTCTCGTACCGAACTTCTAACTGTTTAACTTGTTCTAGAACGATCGGTTGCTTAGCCCAAGAACTTAATTCTGCTGCTTCAGCCTTTAAGCGACCCAGATCAGTTTGTTTATTACTGATTTCCACTTGCAAATTCTTGTATCTTTCGAGTAGTGTTTTCATTTCACTTTGTTCTCCTTTTGTGTTTGGTTTTTGCTGAAGTTGCTTTTCTATTTCGTTTAACCACAGTTCCAATTTCCTCTTAGTGTCATTGTAGTCTTCCCATCTCGCCAGTCCAGCTTTAAGTTGTGCTTGAATGGACGTCAAATCCATATTGAGTTGGTCCCAACTGTTTCTTAACGTTGTCATGTCTTCTCGAAGTTCATTTTGTTTGTCAGCGGGAGCTGTATTGATAGCTTTTCCAAATGCATCTTGCAGTTTAGATAATAACTGTTGCCCTTCACTCATTCTAGCAGCAACTTGTCGAGCGGTTTCAAGTTTTGCACGCATGCTCGATTCGTCTCCTTCACCAAGACAGTCTTGGACAGATTTATGGGCAGAATGTAACCATTCCTCAAGTTCTGCCTTAATTTTTAAGAATTCTGTATGATCTGAAAGATTCTTTTCTACTTTAGATACAAGACTTTGAGCGTTTGTTAAAAGATTTGTATATTCCGTCTGAAGTTGAACAGTTTTGTCACGAACCCAACCAACTGCGCTTAATTCCATAAGAGCTTCACATGAATCTGTCAAGTTCTCCATTTGAGATTTTTGACTAATGATTTCCTCAAGCAAAGCCCGACATTTTTCTAAATCTTCAGGTTTATTATTTTCAAGTTGTTGCCTTTGGGTTATAAGATTTTGATATTTGTCGATACATTTGTTCATAGTCTCGTAGTTTTTCTTAAATTCTTTCCATGCTTCTTTGCATCTGTTTAGAGACTTTTGCGTTTCAGTACAAATAACCTGCAATCCTTCCCAATCGACGTTCAATTGTTCGATTTCTTGACGTATGGTGTCTTTGCCATCTTCTCCGGTGGTCTTCATTACTAAAATGCTGAGTTCAATGGTCTTGTTAACTAAGTCGTCACACTGTGGGAGCGATGCCGCTAATTCTGATATTTTAGCTTCCTTTTCGACAATTTTCTCCAATTCATCGTGGAGATTTGAACAGTTCTGTATTTCCATTTGTGATTTTCTTATCCAATCTGAAGCTTTGTTATACGAATTTTTGTACTGTTCATGATCACGTACTTGATTTTCTAAATCGGAAATTGACGAACTTAATTGGACTTTAAGATCCTCATATCGTTTAATTGCAGTTTCATATTCAACAGTAGACAAATGTTCATCTTCGGCTATTTTCGATTTTAATTTTTCGACTAATTCATTGTGGGAACCGATTTCCTTTTGCACGGCCTTGAATTTTTCTAATTTAGCTTTCTTCTCACTCAATTCATTGAGGTAGCCTTCATCAAACTGTATTTGGTGTTCTTGGTCTTGAAGCCATTCTAATAGTTGTTTATAGATTTTATCAATTTCTTCCAGTTGACTGGCTCTGGACTGGAGTTTATTTCTTATCTCTTGTACATCACTCAATAGTTTCTCCATGTCTTGTTTCAGATTATCAGTATCTTCTTGAATTTTAGCAACTCCCGATTGTTCTGTATTCATTATGACACGTTCTTTGAGCTCATATATATAACGTAACTTATTTTGTCCTTGCTCTAAGGAAGTTCTAATATTCTTCACAACTCCTAGTTTATTATTAATCTCCACAAGAGAATTTGGAATATCTAGGCATCCGTTCAGTTTTTCTCTAGTCCTATCTATCCAGTCCTGGCATTCTTGATACAATGCACTATGTTGTTGGTGTTCCTGATAATGCAATTCTAGGCGTCTCATAACTTCTTTTGCTAATGACAGAATGGCATTGTACTTAGTAGAAAGTTGGGTAATGGCATTGCTAACTCTTGTGTCTGCGCAAGTTTCGAGAAGAACTTGTGCTTTCATGTTCAGTCGGTCAAGTTCAGTCTGCCAATCAAATAGGGTTTGCAGTTGTAGTTGGAATTGTTCCAGAACTGCCCGCTTTTCTTCTAAACTATCTTGAAGCTTGTTGTAGGACTGCACCAATTTTTCAGTTTGGGCCAACCATTCCAAAGCATCTTGATATTGTTCTTCGTACTCTGTCCATTTTACAATTCCAACTTCTAACAAACTCTTGGTACTATTGAGATTCTCCACGTAATTATCAAAATCTTCTTGGAGCAATCCTACTTCTTCCTCAATAATTTCTTTATCCACTTCATCGGCGTATTGGAGAGCTTTGTCCGCTTGATCTAAAGCCATTTCTAGTTTCTTCTGTCCTTCTGGAATCTCGTTTGTAAGTGCCTTAAGTTGGGAGAGTTTACTACCAAGGCTTTCTTTGTCGCCAGTAGGTTCAGAACACTTGCCAAGACGTTCTTTGGACGAGCGTAACCACTGAACAAAATCGTTGGCTGCGTCGACAAATGCTTGATGTTGTTCAACAACCTCTTTTTGTTTAGCATAAAGTTCTTGAGCCTGTTTAGAAAGCGTTTCATATTTGGTTGAAATTTCTGACGCTGGAGCTGCTTGCTTAAGATCTTCAGCTTTTGATGTAACTGACTGAATCATAGGTTCGAAAGAGACGATATCTTGTACGATACTACCAGTTTCGCGTAATGTAGCTTTCCTTTCTCCTATTGGTAAACTACTAAGGCCTCCCTTTTTAGATTTTACAACTATGGGCTCTGTAACTTGTTGTAATTTGGCTTCGCGATCCGTAATCCATTGTTGAAGTTGACTATAAGAACTATCATAATCAGCCCATTGAAGTAGAGCTGTTTCCAAATGAACTTTAGCAGTTGACATTTTCTTTACAATTCTGTCCCAATCTGTTTGTATTTCTTTGAGTTCGTTATTAATGGCCTCTTTTCCATCAGAACGAGTATTTCGTAAAACTTTTTCGCCGCAATTTACAGTAGCGTGTACCAAGTTTTGACCTTCCTCGCGTTTTTGTATTAATTCTTGAATTTGATTTAAATGTTCTTGTAGAACTTCTTTACTGCTATTGGATGCTGCTTCAGAACAATTTCTGATTAATTCTCTAGCATTATCAATCCATGCCCTTGTCTTTTCTAAATTATCAGCATACTCTTTGTGCTGTTCGTGATTGGTTTCAACTTTCTTCAGCACATCTTTAGCTAAGTTTAGTTCAACTTGATATCTAGAATTCAGTTGTTGCAATTGGTTATTCACATGAGTTTCTAATGGTGATTTCAATAATATCTTTGCCGAATTGTTCAGTTTTTCTATTTGTTCTTTTCCATCTATGAGCCGTTTTAATATGCCTTCCACTTCAACAACTTGTTTTTGTTTTTCTTCCAATGTTGGCATCAAGGCAATTTTCTGGTTTTTAACTAGAATTGTGATTTGCTGTAACCAATCGGATATTCGTTCAAATTCATCTTTATATTCTCTCCAATGTGACAGAACTGCTTCCAATTGTTCTCGTTGTTGTTTCAAATCTTTAAACAATCTCTCAAAGGATTCTCTTAGAGCCCTTATATCATTTTTAATAGTTTCTTGGCCTTGGCTACTTGTATTAGGAATAACAGCTTGAGCTGCATGTTCCAAGTTTTCAAGAAGTACTTCGCCTTGAGCTTGTTTATTTAATAAGTGATCTAATGGTCCAGCGAGGGTTTCTACAGTCAATTTGTCGCTGAAAGGTCTTTGAAGTTGAGGAACTTTCTCCTGTGCTCTGGTCATCCATGTTTGCACCTCGTCATGAGCTTCTTTATACGCTCTGTGATCTTTGTATTGAGATTCGCGCTCGGCTAATAGTTTCTGAAAAATAATTAATTTAATTAATTTAATTATTGTAAATCCAACAAAATTATACTTACATTGATCTTTTGGGCGATACTATCGAACCTGTCTAGCATATTCTGAGCTTCAATAGCTGCTTCTCCTCCACGTTTACTTTTTAGAACTTCTGCTGCTTGTGCTTTCAAATTGTCAACTTCAATTTTTTCGCATCGTACTTTTTCTTCAAGATTTTTTATTCTGTCTAATTGGGATTTCTTTTCAGTGACAGTTCCCTGAAGTTCAGATAGTTCTTCATACTGGCTTTCCAACCACTCAACTGTCTTGTCGAGTGCTTTAATTTCTTCCAATAATCCAGCCCATTTTGTCAGAGCGTCATCCAAAAGACCCTTTGTCTCTACCATTGAAGAAGCTAAGTTAGACCACTCTTCTTGCAAGTTTGCCAAAGTTTGGTTGATGGTTTCATGTCCATGTGGTGCAGTATTAGCTAACACAATTTGTCCCAATTCCACTAAACCTTGCAGTTTCGTAAATCCTTCCTCCTTGTTTAAGAGCAATTCCTGAATTGTTTCCAATTTGTTCTCTAATTCCTTTTGTGAAGCTGAATTGATATCTGAACAGTATGACAGTTTTTCTTTAATATCTTCCATCCATTGCTCACACTGAAGTACTTGAGAGTTAAAATCTTTATGATTGTTGACATACTGTTGCCAACGAGTGGTTAATTCTTTAACTTTTTGACAAATTTGTTGATATTTGACTCCAAGTTCAGATATCTGAGATGGCCTACTCATCAATCCTTTGTTGAGTTGTTGCAATCTCTCTGTAACCTGGTCGATTTCGAGTTCCTTCGCCCGAATTTCTCCCTGCATAGATTTCAATGATTCTAATTGTTCCTCTTTTTCTTTAGCTGTAGCTTTCAAATCTACTGAATGCAGCTTAGCATCAGTTTCGCGGATCCAGGATAAACAACGGTCTTTTAGTGCTTCGTATTCGGACCAGTGTTCTAATTTACTCTCCAACTGACGGATGATGTTTTGAATAGTGGATACTAATGCAGCCCATTCTTGTTGCGAGTTCTCAATTTGTGATCTAATTTTGCTTTGTCCGTAATCTATCGTCCCTGGTATTACTTTGTCTCCCAAAGTCTTTACTGATTTTATACGGGATTCCTCATCTGGTAAAGTTGCTTGTAAATTCTGTAAAAATGTGAATGAAGAGAAACCAAATTCATATGCATTAAATAGGTTTTGTTGTAAAAAATGAAGTATGAACTTCCACTAGTACCGATACAATTGATAACTGAAGAAAAAATGGAGTTTATGTGTCCTAAGCTTAATTTATTTATTATTAATAAACTATCCAAATAAGTAATGACTGATTAAAGTAAATTAAATAGTAATAACTAATTTAATAAAAAAAAATTACCTTTAGTCTTTCTAGATTGGACTGAAGGGTTATTCTTTCCTGTTCGATGTCTCCTAGTACAGAAACTGTATTACGTGTGGCGTCCATCCATTCTTGGCCATCAAGGACAGCTTTGGAATATTGCTGGTGGTCGCTGACTATAGTCTCATAGCTTTCCACAAAGCCCTGAGCGCGTTTAACGGTCTTGGCATGTTGTTCGGTAATGTTGGCCAGCTGTCTGTCAATTTGTTCATTTCTTTCCGGTAAACTTTCCACTCTGTCACGCAAATCCACGATATCCTGTTGATGCGCTGTAGCGTCATGCAACAAATTTCGGTAAACTTGGAGCTGAGCCTTCTTCTCGTCCAGAGTAGCTTTTAGTTCGAGTTCTTGAGGTAAGTGAATTTCTTTCAGCCAGTGCAAAATGCTGTCGACACATTCGTCAAAGCCTGACCATCTCTCAAGTTTGGCCTTAAGGTCTCTGTCCGTGCTGTTAATTTCGTCGAATAAGGCTTCTAGTGCTTGTTGCAGTTCTTGTAATTGGGTACGGATAATTTCTCTACCTTCAGGTGCGGTAGTTGGATAAAGTTTTTCTCCCAATTCGATAGTGTTATTTAGTAGCAAAGTTGCACTGGTTTGTTGTGATAATAATTCTTCAAGTACCTTAGCTTGCTCGGCGAGACATTCGCGCGCCCCTCCTTTAATATTTTCCTGGCAGTTGTTAAATCTAAAAGAAAATATATAATAAATCTTGTAGTTTTATCGCAATAGAAGTTCTTTTACCTGATTTGAGCAGCAGAGATCCAATCCGAACAGTGTTTATATTTCTCATTATATAATTTGTGATCCGCCAGAGCTTGTTCACATTTCTTCAAAATTTCTTTCGCGGTCACCTGAACTGATTGGAATCTTGACGTTATTTGTTGGATATTCACTGAGATTCTGTTGTCTCCGCTGCTCTGTACTAATTCAGTTGAATCGTCAGACATCTTATCGAATTCTGCCTCGTTTTGACGCAGATTTAAGATGAGAGCCTAAAAATATTTTTTCTTGAAATATTTCGCACGGTAACTGAATATCACCACCTAATTGATGAAGATGGAAATGAAAAGACTATTGAACTACATATTTCACTGATTGTCAATACACACAAAATAATAATAACCTAACGATGTAAAATAAATTCCACATAAGGTGAATCTTGAGCGTGGTGCAATGAAAATTATAGTAATATTGCATTGAAACATATTATTGTCGTTATAATCGTCGTTGTCCTTGTCATTATTATTATTATTATTAATATTATTATTATTATTATGATCCTAATCATCATCATCATCATCATCATCATCATCAT